GAATTTGAAACTTTCGGTTACGAGACGCTACGTGATACTAGGAGACAAATATTTCTTTCTTTTTTTTTTTTTTTTTTTGTTCGTCAAGAGATTTGATTTCAAAATTGCATGGATTAATGGATTCTAGAAGCACGCAGTGTTTCAAATAATTTCGTGTAAAATATATGTAATTCGTGTGATTCTTGCGTTGTCTTTCTGATTTTGTGGAATTGAAGAATTATGATTTGCAAGGAATTTTGATGCGGAAGCACAAGAAATGAAAAATTAGAGATTTACTATTTTATTTTAATACTGATTGCTTTCTGTCAAATCGCAGCTGTACAAATCCTTATAGAAGTAAAAAAATATGCAGAATATAGAATTACAATTTTATAGTTGCTACTGCATTTATCGGTATTTTAGATTAATACTGCTCATTTCTTATATACGTCCTATATACTATGTATCTTACATACATAGCGAAAACGGTAGGAATTATCTAAGATTGCTTAAAAAATTACAATGCTCCATGCATATTATAATCGGATCGATAAACCATGAACATGGAGGTCGCATTATTTGCCAATTACCATATGCAAATTTCGACAATTACACGTTTTCCGTCACTCGGACTTATCGCGGGAGAGAGCGAGAGATTGTTTGTTTCTCCTTGTTTTCAGCGCGAAACAGATTCTATCACTTGCGGTAAGTCGCGAAGAAACTTTATACCAGCTTGTACAATTAATTAAAAATTAACAATACGTCGACAGATAAATAAATAAATAGATGACAAAATAAATAGATGCAAGCGACAATAAATAGATGAAATGATATGTATGCAATAAATAGATAACGTGCGTCAATCGCAGATACTCGTCTGATTCACTCATGTGATTATTATCTATTTGCATAGCACGCGTAATAAATATGATGATAATTGCATTCAAACACGTGCGACTGGAATCGAACATTACCAGTCGCGATCGAGTACATGTTTTTTTATCACATTGTTTGGCAACAACACGGCCGAGAAGATCTATAAATATCTAATGTATGCGGTAATAATTTCTTATTCCTATTAGACGGGATTATACGCACTAATAATTATACCACAATCCTGTCTAACGTTTGAGTAAATCTGTTAAGTTCTCAGTATTCGCGCGTCATTAGACATTGTCACTCAATATTTAAACGAGTTCTTATGTAAAAATCTTATATCAAAGAAAGAAAAATTGAAAGACACCATTCGTCGTCTCTCTAACGACAACAACAACGCGTTTCACGTAACAGTTCGAGCGTCGTCTTCAGCGCGAAAGATCTCTTCTTCGAGAACACCCAAAATGTATATCCGCGATTTGCGCCGTCGATTGCGAAGATCGTCATCACCGAAGCGAGTTGTCATTCGAGATATTGCCGAGTCCTCGTCAATTGTCGATGGGCCAGGGCGATTCTTTCAGCAACACGTAGTCGGCGCACACGCAGCCCACGTAGATCTTTATCGTCTCCCTGTAACCGTCGCCGTAGGACACCTCGATGTTACTGTACGTCTGTATGCAGCGGTAATGGTCGGCGCCCTGGCAGCTCCTGCCGGCGTGATTGCACCGCACGTGTTGGAGATTCTTGGGCACTCGGGTGCGACGGTTGGCGGGTATCGGTATATACTCCACGGTGTAGCTGCAGGTCGTGCTGTTCTGCGCCTTCCTCACCTCCACCTCGTAGGAGACCTCGTGCAGACCGCGCGCGTTCTCGTGATTCCTTATCTGGTCCTCTATCATGTCCCTCTTGATCTCATCGGTCGGCACCTTGTAGTTGGTGTTCACGTTGTGTTTATTGTGACGCTTCCTCCTGGCGAAAAGTCGCGTGGAAGACGCCTCGTGACCGTTGTCGTCGTACCTGCGCAGATCATTCTGTCGTCGCAACGGTTCGTAATTCCTCAGACGATTTAGAAACCGGGGATATCCGTGGCTGTCCGACTTCCGTCTGTAGGAATCACCGTACACCAAATCGTTTTCAAGGCGTCCCGACAGATCCCGCGACACCGATTCCTCAAAATCGTAATAGTTCGGATGAGAATGATGGCCGTGATGTCGCCTCAGCGACTGCCCGTGAACGATCGGTGTGCTGACGATGACAGAGACGAAAAGAACAGACAGGCACAATCCGAGTACCGCCATTGTGACGATTCGGCTTTCGAAACTCTGGCACTCGAAAGTTACAGACCCCACCTGCACAAGTCGGCAGTCCTTATCGTGCTGATGTAATCGCTTTATTAGCCACTAGGATATTCTTATTTGTCAACTGTCCGTCGTCGACTCTCCGCGACACTTTTGAATTATCTGTTTAGTCACACAATTGTAACGAAAATCGCAGAGACCGAGCGACGAGCGATTGAAATCGATAAAAAATTGCAGTTTATCGAGGCTTCTCAAATTGTTGATCGATGTTTGTAAACGGCAACCGGCGAGAATAAATTATCCTCCGATTCTCTCCTATTCGATAAAATCGAATCGGTATGACAGCGAGACGCTGGAAGATGCAAATATACTATGCGGCACGGTGTCTGGTCCTGAATGTTCAGGTTTTGGCCAACCGTTCGGCGAGTCTCCCGTTCGTGTGACGTAAGTTGAAACTATTTCGACGGACTAGCTGTCTCCCAGGTCGGGATGCCGTAGAATTTTTTGTGATGATTCGCCAGTCGAAGTTCGATCGGGCGACGCTGACCAGCGCAATTCGCCAAGAGTGTCGCGGACTCTTCTCGGATCCCCAGCTGACCGGGCGGGCGCCTCTCGTTGACGCGTTCTCGCGTTGTCGAGACTCGTCGATCGTGGGACCGATGCGGTCTTTTTCGTCTCACGTTCTCCGATCGTCTCGCTTAATGGTTTGTTCAAAACTGAGTATTCCTTGATGTCCGAAGGATTTTTTATTCTGCCCGCGAACAGGCACGTGGGTGGTGTTGCCCCACTTTAACGGGGGGCTTACGCGTGCCTGTACACGCGAAGAAGTGACTAATTTCCCCCTCTTCTCTGGGTCTCCGCACCTTCTGCAGCCCCCTCGGTATCCCAAGAGATGTTTCTTCATTCGTGGCACGGTGCGGCGGCTCCTTCTTCTTCGCCGAGGATACGCGCCCTCCCCTTTGACGTCACTAGCTGCACGTTCCCTCTCGGCGGACCCGCCGCCGCTACCGCCGCCGCCGCCGATTGTTCCCTTAAACGTGGGTTTAGCGTTATCCACCGCGGACATAGTCAACGTCATATACTTGTGCCGTGTGCCCACCTATAGCGGAAAGACGCGAGGACGGGTGTCCTGGCTTTCGCGGAATTCTGTCAACGATATATGAAATAGCCGGCAATACCGGCTTATCCTTTCGTCCGCTCACGTGCACCGCGATGACGATGACGATTACGCGTTAGCGCGCGCACGAGGGATTTTACGAAAGTGGACGCAACGCCTTTCCCTTCTAACGTTTACGCGCGACACATTTTCTCGCATTGACGCTCGCTCGCATCTGAGGTCGTCATGTGCGCGAACGCAAATCACGATTATCTTCAAGGGAAAGAATTCTCGGTTTACCGATTATCAATGCTTTCCAGAAATTGACGCAATTCGCGGAAACACCGTGCGGAAGATTGAATATCAAATCAAGAATCAGATCGAGAATCTCGGGTTTCCCGCGATTCCATACGTTTTTTGTTCTAACAACGTAGATTTCGCAGACCGGTAAAAATTTACAATAGACTGACGATACTTTTAAACAGCGGTAACAGCGGCGTGAAGCTACCGTTATCGCCGCAACAACTGTTAAAAAGTTAAAAGCCTTCTTGCTAAAGCATTTAAAATGTCATTTAAACAAACATGTTTGTGCCCCTTCCATCACTCTCCCTCTCTCGAATAATACCACGACGGCCGTTTTAGTTGTGTGAACCAGTTAAAAATCATCAGGCACTCGCGGGTTTCCCAGACGCGTCTTTCTTTTTTAGAAGGTCGGGGAGCACATCATAAAAGCGCTTGAAACCTTTATTAACTCATACCATTACCGTTATTTTTTCGTCAGGTGTGCGTATTGTGTGCATGTGTGTGCACAGGGATATATTTAGATACAGTGGAAAAATCTCTGGAACTCCGAGCACACTAATTCATTCGTAATGTGTAAAGGCACAGAGTTAGATTCCATAATGCGGTTTGTAACACAGATAATTTGCGGTCAAAGGCATTTTCTCGCTTTTGACGTTATTTCCAAAACTGTCGCATTTTCGACTTCTTTATTTGTGTATTAATTTTTTTTATAATTTATGTTTCTGTTTTTATTAATTTTTTTTGTTTGGTTTATTTTATACTTGCTATCTTTTATCTTTACGAAAAACAGTGAAACGTTTGATAAAACAGACTTTTCACTCAATATTAAAAATTATTAAATAACGATGCGGTATTTCTTTTCACAATCCGTATTTGACATTTAGTTGCAACGTCAGATAATGCCAACATATTAATAATACATACAAAGAGTGAAAGAAAAGTACATATAAAACTGATTAGAAATTTAATTTTTCAGAATAAATATGAACTTTTTCAAGTTTTGCTTATTTTTTGCAAGATTGATGTGAAAGTTCGCTCTGCAACATATTTATGTTATGCTAATGTTGTTGTTGTTGTTTGCTTAATCATTTTTGAATTTTTGCACGCATTTCCATTTGATGCTATAAAAAAACTGATATATTCGTTGACTATATTGTAAAAAATTATGCAGATCTCGACTAAAAACCGGTTTTTAACAATAAAATTTATTTCTTTTATATGTATTAATGAATCACTGAGACATGTATATAGGGTAATTCGATTTTTTTCTTCTAAAAACACGTTCTCCAAATATCTTAATGTCATCGACTTAATCTGCCTCATTAATGTCAGTATTGTAATATAGCTGTGCTATTCTTAACTATCTTAAATTTTGGGATCTGGAATATATGCGTGTGCATCTTTTATATACATAGATTAAAAAAAAAATATATATATATACACTCATATACAGTACTTTTATCAATTATTTTATTTTAGTGACAAGTAAATTCTCAGTGTAAGTCAATTTCATAAAGCACATTTCTAAGATGTGACAAGATGCAAAGTCTCTAAAATAAAACACTTCAGCTACTCTCTTCTCATTTATCTTCGAATAAATCTGCTGGGAGATCGCTTATCGTCGGGAAACTCGCATGCGTGCCGAACTTGAGGACAGATTGCGTGGCCACCACGCACGCTCTTCTGATGCACTCGTCCATCGATAGTTGCGGATGATACGCCTTGAAATATGCGAACGCGCCCAGAAATGCATCTCCGGCACCCTGCATCGCATACGGTTACATTTAAACGGCTCAGGCGGCTTGAATATCATTTGAGTGAATCACTAAGTGAATCAGTGCTTTAATTAATTCCGGAAATTAACAGGCCGTTGGCCTCGCACGAGATTGTGGACCAATCAATAACATTAACGATTAATCGTTTCAACTGCGGTTTTATAATATGCAGCATTTTCTACTAACAGTTTACAAGTAGGAAGTGCGAGTTGCACAAATAGAAGAATAGAAAGTTACGCGATGTTACTTAACAAAAATATACATAAAATATCGTAAAACGTTTTTAAACATTAAGTTCTTTTATACTTGGAAATGTTCCTTGAAAAGATGATTTCTATAGCTTTGTTGAACAGAGATTAATTTTTAATTCGTCGGGAAATCCGCGACTGTGGCAGTTCTTACTTCTTATATGCAATACGTACAGTGGTATCCACTGGCTGGACCTCGGTAGCGGGAATCAGCATCACATTTCTGTTTGCTTTCGACGCGTACACAGCCCCCAGGGGCCCAAGAGTAAGGATAATCGCGTTGCATCCCTTAGCCAGGAGCTTGTCCGCAACTTGTTGTACATTTGATAACTCTACCGGTTGAATGCCCGTCATAATTTCCGCCTACAAAAGCGTAGTGGTGTGTCCTTTGTGCGTCAAACATTATATTCAATTAATTCTTACGCGCGTCGTTAGCTTCAATCTCCGTATACCGGGTGTTCCGGAAGGGGGAAAAAAAAATCTCGTGTTCTCGTTATCTCGTCGGAGATACTAATTGTCCACATACCTCCGTTTCATTAACGCAGAAAATGTCGCACAATTTTAGGATCTCCGGATCTAGATTTTCCACTGCGGGCGCCCCGTTGACAATTGATAGCCCTATCGCATTACGCTTTATGTAAAAATATATGTACAGCTCAGAGTCGCGTGATATCGCAAGCTGCAGTTAAATGATGTCTAGTTTCTACAGGAAGCGGAAAGTCGTGTGCACAATGTGATGCACTTTATATATAACAAGTTTTAATAATTCTATTCAGCAGTACTTTGTAATTATCTATTTTTTAGAGCTTACGATGGTTTGACTCTGAGATATGAATATTACTATTTATAAAAATATAAAATTAAGAAAAAAACCATGGCCTTGATGTAATCTTAACGCATGCAGCGTAGTTTCCAGCGGAGTCTCGAACTGGCATAACAAAACGCTCGCACCTTTGATCACATCAACAGCGGAATCCACGTGTTCCCGGTTCAACGATTCATTTGCGCCTAACACGATAACGATAGTGTTCTGTCCTGTGAATGTTATTCGAAAAGCACCGAGATTATTTCGCAGGAACGAAAATGCCAAAATCATTTTAACGAGAAATTCAATGTTAATGGCTCTATCGTTCATTTGTTTATGAATTAAAACTACTAAACATTTTTCCATAATTGTAATTTCAAAACATTCTGAAGGAATTTAAAAAACTTAAGGATATAAGAACGTACCATCCTCAGCGACAGTAATGTGAGCAATACCGCTATGCTTATCTTTTTGTATCTTGACATGAGATGTATCTACATTTTCCTTCTTTAAAATTTCTAAGTACTCTTGTGCAAATGTGTCGCAACCTAACTATGATAAAAAAATCGTAATATTACATACTCCACAAAATGCAACAATGTGATCATAACTGATTAAAAAAACCACATGAATATTACTGAATAAGAAATATGTTGAAAAAGTCAAATTAGATACAAAATCAATAAGTTAGATTGTTTGCTTAAAAGATAAATGCATACTGAGGCAACAAGTGCTGTAGATCCACCAAGTTTAGCAGATGCCACACATTGATTGGCACCTTTGCCACCATATTTCTTTTCAAATTTAGTTCCAATTATTGTTTCGCCAGGTTTAGGCAATCGTGGAGAGAAACTAAAAAGTAACAACATTCAAAGAATGATACATAAAATCTATATTGATTAAAACTGCATTACAATCAGTGTGATCAGTAGATATGCTGTTAATCATCTATAAAGCAATATCAACTTCTATCATGTACAAGAAGCTTTAGCTTTACTCACCAAGTAAAATCAATCATACACGAACCAACAACAACTATTTTTTGTGTCATATTACACTGTTTTTTTTACACAGTTTTTCTCTGTATCTGCTAATAAATTCCAGACCACATTAACCAGACATTTGCAAATGTGTTACAACAGTGTGACTATTTCTGTACAGGATTACAGCAACTGATTGCAAGTATCAAAATGTACATAAAACAGATAACCCGCGTTCTTTATCATCTAACAGACCAATGAATTCACACAACTGTTATCATTTATAAAAACAATTTCTTTGCTCACCATTCGTATAACCCAATGTCTACCCTATAAATATAAATGTGAACATTATAATGATGACAAAAATACATCAATCAAAACAAGAGGAATTCTACAAATATATAAATTAATTCAAATCACTTCTATTTGTGGTAAAAAAAACATACGTTATTTACTACAATGTTTTCCTCGGGAACAGGTTATTTTTTTACATTTATTAAAATGAGGTTATAGATAACTAAGGCTGTGGTCTACTTGACGTTACAAATGCTTCGAAGTGTCCTTTCTCTCCTTCTCTCTTCATCAAAAGGAAGGAGAAAAAGGACGTTTCGAAGTATTTGTAGCGTCAAGTGGACCGCAGCCTCAGTCTATCGAATCTTTACATCTTGCACTAATAAAGGAGGATTTATTTGACGATCACTATAAAAATTTTGCAGAAGACAAAATTCCCCACTGAAAAAATGCACTGAAAAACATGTTTAAATATATTTTACATCGTCATACATTATGAAGACACTAGATGTGACCACGAGATGTGACTACGTGTGTAATTTAGTATGTTGTTCGATCCTATTGGTGTTGTGTTCCTAGTGAATAATTAAGGTCTGTTTGCGTAGCCGCATAAACATAAAACAAAAAAAAAACAACAATTAATTGATACAAAGAATTTATTTAATATACACATTCTTTGCACATTCTCATTAGATGTAATTGATCTTTTTTCTATGCAGACATTTATGTCTTTATCCAAATCCGTCTGAACTGGCTTTTATAGATCATTTAAATCGAAACTTTCAATTTCGATAAAAGACTGCTTTCAAACTAATATGTGTACAGATAATTTTGCCCATAAGCATTAATATAAATTAATATTAATTGCTTTTCAGGCAAGTATTAAATTAGTGCATTACTCGCAAGTAATAGAAAGATAAAAATTTCCACGAAACTAATTAAGAAACAATAAATATCGCGAAATCGTTAAAATAGCTATGGGCAATTTGCTATTTAGATTTGTACCAAGTAAGCTAAATCTCATTTCTATAAAAATTTCAGAAAAATTTATTCTCATTTATTCTCATACGTTTATACTACGTAAATTATATTATAAGTTACAAATCGACGAATTTTAATTCTTAATTTACATCAATGGTGATTATGTCAAGGATAATCGTGAAGGTTAATTTAATGACGTAAAATTGTAAATTGTAATTGAATATTTACGCGGATGCGCGTAAAACTTCCGCCCCTCCGCTGCCCCCCCCCCCACCCTTGATATGGTAAACTCGATGTAGAGCGAAGTGGAATCACGTCTCTCTTCCGCCATTCTATATTTACGATTTTTACGGAATTGTTATAAAATTGACTGAACTTGTTCCAGGCCGTCCAAAAAAGCGACAAAACATGACGAGCCCGGTCGTAATTTCAGCCACGACTAAGCACACAGCAACGGTAAATATGCCATCGTCTTTTAGGTAGCATTTGCCTTTTTGGTTATATCTCTTGGTGATCATTGTAATTGATAACTGAATTACTCTCGTGATATAATTACTCTTGTTGCGACTTTTCTTTTGTGTGATTGTCTTGCATTGCCTCACTGGCCATCGTTCTAGTTTTCAATATCTACACTTGTTTTATTCTCTGCATGATTATTCGACTTTTTAGTCATAACTACATGTCTGTAAAATATTGCAATTATTATAGCAAGAATCTATAATAAAACTATCAGTTTTCTACTTTATTCTGTATTCAATGTTGATCTTATTTTCAATAATGTATGCTTGTCAAAAACTTGTTTTAAAACAGGGATTTAAAAAATCTTAAATAACATTTTAAAAATATTTTTGAATGCGATTAATGCATATCTTATTTTGTACTGAGAACTATTTATGTTTCAGTTAATATTTTTCCATGGATTAGGTGATACAGGGTGAGTTCCCATTTATACAAGTGCAATTTTCAACATATTAATATGATGTATGATTTTGTCAACACTTGAGATACATTTTTAGGCATGGCTGGGCTAGTTCCATGGCTGCTGTACGATCCCCTCATGTCAAAGTTATTTGTCCTACTGCGTATGTAATTGTTAATATATTTTAATACTCTAAGAAAATGTAAATCATAAGTTAATGTAGTCATAATTATTTTAATGTACGAATCTTTAATTGTTTCAGGCCCACAATGCCAGTGACACTTAATGCAGGGTTCAGAATGCCTTCTTGGTAAGTTTATATTGTATTCTGTATTTATAAAATAATTATTAAGTTAGTATTTACACAGTTACTGATAGATTCTGTGAATTTAGGTTTGATCTACGGTCTTTGGACTCCAGTGGTCCTGAAGATGAAGACGGTATACGTAAAGCCGCTGAAATGGTCCATTCGTTAATAGCGGAGGAAGTTGCCGCTGGAATACCTACTAAACGCATTGTTCTTGGGGGATTTAGTCAAGGTGGAGCACTAGCCATGTTTAGCGCCCTTACATTCCCAGAACCCTTAGCTGGTATCATAGCCCTATCCTCGTGGCTTCCTTTACATCAAAAGTTTCCAGCAGTAAGTATATTCATGTTGCATGGTGTTACATATTTACAAAATTGTTATATTACATAATATTAAATTGTTTTCAGGAAGCAATAGGTAATAGGAACACTCCACTATTACAATGTCACGGCGACTGCGATCCGATTGTGCCATACAGATGGGGTCAAATGACAGCATCTCTCCTGAAACAATTTATGACACAGACAGAATTCAAAACTTACAGGGGAATGATGCATACATCTTCTGAAGAGGTAAGAAAATTCAATCGAAAAGAATTATTTATTAAATCTTACATTCAAAGAAATTATTTTTTTTTTTTTTTAATATATTTTTTTATTTTATAATTTATTATTTCCACAGGAAATGCGCGATATGAAGAAGTTCATCGAAAAAGTTCTGAAGCCGTAATAGATTGAATTAAATATGTATCGATATTTTAATGGCTAATTCGAATATCTAATTGTACATTATATTGAGATGATTCCAGTTTTGCGATTATTTAATTTTAGTGAGTTATATGAACTTAAAAGACTTAGAAAATCGTTAAAAATCTTCCGGGATGAAAGATGCAGTGCTAAATAGGCAAAAAAATACGCTTTCTACAAGAATATATTTATTTACAATATTGATAATTTGTACTCGTATACATTTGAACTTTAATATTTTAATTCTGCCAAAGGATCCATGTAGCGTTAGTACAAATTAATTCGTCTGGTTCGTAACTCTTTTACTATGTAACATTTATTGGCATTTCTTGTTTTTTTTTATATAATATCTATATACATACATGAAAAAAAATATATATATATTTATTTATTTTTACTGATACATATATGTACCAGTATAAATAATATATTTGTAAGATTCCACACTGATCTGGTGATACATTATGTAAAAGTAAAAAGTTAATAAGAAAATGGTTAATGTTTTATTCATTTTTTCAGTTTGCGAAAACGGACTAATAAATATACATGTGATTTTTGCGTTAATATTTAAAAAAATACTAGACGAATTTCTTTTTTCCTCAATTCTTCTATTGAACTTCCATCCTTTTACACCGCCGATATTATGTTCGAGTGAATATGATTTAAATATAAACACGTCCACAACTCTTACATAATTCACGTATTTGGGCAGTTACAAATATTTGCATTTAAATTTCACGCGGGCCAACGTCCAAAACGCAATGCAAAATAGCTGCTTCTAATGAATAACTTTTGTAGCGAGTATTGTCTAGAAGACAGCGAATGGCCATGTAATCTGTGATTACGCATTGTATTGTCAAAAACCAGACTATCATTTATAACTAACATAATTTTTTGGCAGATTCGTTCTGCCAAATCTAGATCAGGATTTCCTAAACTGTACGGCGCGATTTGCGCGGTATGGATCCTTTGGAAAAATTGTGGATTGCTTAAGCTTCCTTAGAATGCAAGCGTAAAGAATTGCACTCTTTTACCTACATTTCTGTTATTTTGCGAAGTCGCAAAAAAAAAGAAACCTGTGACAAGGCACTCTTTGAAAAATAATTGTTAGAAAATTGTTAGAAAAGCTACTTATCTATCTTAAGTTTGGGAAATCCTGTGATACATACTCATAATAGATATAGTAGACATGGTATTAATATATTGTAATTACGCTAATGTATATAATTATATGACACTTGGCTGATTTTATTATTGGTACTAACACACTATCCAGTAGACAAATAATAAGTAAACGAAGAACAATAAGCTCGAAATATTTTTCATGGGCTTTCCCTATGAATACACTACAGCTAGCGATAAACAGAACCTTAGCTTGTAAGTTATTCAACGTTCATTCTGTATAAATAAAACATATAAACAATTTTTTCCCCAATGGTTTCATTCATTAGACTTTATAATCAAATTAGTGATAACAAATGATAACAAATAAAGTTTGATATATGGAGATTGCGATCATAAATTAAGTACGATATCTACATATGTACGCACCATGATAAGACGAAAAAAAAGATATATATGGTGACGTCACAGTGTCTCGGTTATAATCAAGTGTGATTGAACAACCTTTGGATGGATAATTTTGCAGAAGACTCAGTAATTGCAAAATAAATTGTATAACGTATTTTTATACAGCTCAATGGTGATAAGTCAAAAATAATTGCTGCAAGCAGTAAGTTGCTGGCTTAAATGCGAGTAAGAACGAGGTTAAAAGTTTAGTGAATCTAAATACAGTGTTTAACATGACACAACAAAATTCATTTATCTTAAGCACTCTGGAAAATGGAATACAAAAAGTGGTGCTTAATAAGCCTGCTAAGAAAAATGCAATTTCGGGCCCGGTAAATAGATACACGGGATATTTTATCGTTTAAAATAAAATAATTAAAATATAATGTGAATTATCATTTATTAATTTCTTATCTGCTTTACTCAGATGTATGAGGAATTGACGATACTTTTAAACGAATCTGCCAAAAATGAGAAAGTGGTGATATTTGCATTGACAGCAATGGGAGATTTTTTTAGTAGCGGTAATGATTTAAGCGCTAGTGCGTCATTAATTTCTCCTACTGCTATTGAAGATGGAAATAAAATAGTCAAGTAAGTATTAGAAGAATGTACTGCACTAAAGATTTTTATTTCTAAATACCAAAATTCAAAAATCTTACAGAGAATTCATTGATGCTTTAATTTTGTATCCAAAGCTTTTAGTAGCTGTTGTAAATGGACCAGCAATAGGAATAGCATCCACAATATTGGGAATTTTTGATTTAGTTTATGCTTCAGATAAGGTATTTGTTCAATAACTCATATTTTACATGTTACAATGTTAAAAAATATTTTAAATATATTGTGATATTGATATTATTTGAATATATTATATCAATTGTAGGCATATTTCCAAACACCTTTTAGTTCTTTGGGACTTGTTGCTGAAGGATGTTCTACATATACATTTCCAAGATTATTGGGACACACCAAGGTATTGTATTTTATATAAAATTTTATTTAAAAGTATATTTTATTTGTTATTAAGATTAACACATTTAGTATTATTTTATTCTTTTAATAATACACTATAAAAATACTTATTTAGGCTGGTGATATGTTGTATCTGGGTTATAAAATGAGCGCTCAAGAAGCTAATCAACATGGTTTAGTTAGCAAAGTTTTCAATCATGATTCGCTTGAAGAAATATGGAATTATTTGAACCAAGTATCTAAACTTTCTTCAGAGGTATGACTCTTATTTAATAGTTCAGAAAAAAAATGGATCAAGTCTTTATTAATTGTTAGAAAATTAGTTCTAAAGTTGGAGTTATTCTAATTGTATACAACATGTACACTGTTTTTCACAGACGTATAATTTCTTTTAATTTTAACTTAAAACATTTGCATTTACTTTTGAATAATTCAGTGAAAACTGTTTTGTTTGTTTCTAATTTGTACATGAATTTAAAAAAAAGGACTTGGATTATTTTGTCTCTGAATCCCTCACTTAATAGTTATCTGTATATCATTAGTATATTTATGTTGCTAATCAATGATAATTTAATTAATTTAATATATAATATTTAATTAATTTCAGTCAATATTGGCGACTAAGCGATTAGTGAGCAAATGGAATAAGCAGATTTTATTGGAAGTTAATGCGGAAGAAATAAAAGAGTTGAAAAAACGGTTTGAATCTCCTGATCTAATTGAAAGATTTCTTAATTTCTTGTCACGAAAAAACAAGCTTTAAAATAACAACCAAAATAATATTTTTATATCTTTTTGATATGAGGATTAATTAATATTGTTAATATGGAAATAAATTTTTTTATATCTCTAAACGTGTTCAACATAAATAAAAAATATTGACTTAAAATAGATATAATTTTATTTCTCCTTAGTTGTGTTGCGTTGTAGAGTTTTTAAATATGAATGTTATATTAGCACTTATTTCCGTTAACATAATGCCCTGTAAAATAAATTTATATAAATCAAAATTTTGAGAGAATCTGAAGTTTTAACTCTGTTAACATTTGAACAATTTATTACCTGCATAATGTCAAGCGGTATTGGTTGCTTATAATGTTGCCAATCTAAAAGTTGATTCATAGTTAAATTTTTTTCCGACGATTTATCTTGTATTGTAAATTGGCAATCACGTGTCTCGTTATCACTCGCTTCTAATTTTTCAGTAGACAAATGTTCGTTGTTTTGGCCAGAACAAGAGCAATTCATTAAATCATGTGTTAGTGAGACTGTATCAGTTGTCAGCGTAAACAAATCCTAAAAATGAAGAAAAATAAATGAAAAATGTGTTCACAATGTTTATAATTATAAAATTTAGTTTAATAAAAAACCTTTAATTCTGTAGCTGATAGTTTTAGAGACCCAAGATGATTCAAATCCACTACAGACTCACTCAAACCGATTTTGCTGATTTGTCTTTGATATATTTTTTCTTCTATCGTACCTGTTGTCAATAATCTAAAAAATTTATTTTAAATACAGAAACATAACTTCATTGATCACATATGACTGTTACAACAGTATTAGCATATGCAAACCTATAAATGTAAACATCCCTCTTCTGCCCGTCTCTCCAGATTCTTGCCATAGCTTGCGCGTCGGATGCTGGATTCCAATCAGAATCAAACAGCACAAGCCTAGATGCTCCTGGTAAATTTAAACCAACTCCACCGGCTTTCGCACTTAATAAGAAGACTCCTGTAAACATTATATTTTGCGATGACAGCTGATTATCATTTGGAATACATAACTTTCATAAAACTTACTGCTATCATCAGTTTGTGTGTTGAAATGTTCGATAACTTTCGATCGGGTTGAACTTGAAGTACTACCATCTAATCTCAAGAATTTTAATCTTTCCATTGTACATACAGTTTCAAGAAGATCTAGTGTCTGTGTGTAATAGGAAACCAACACTAACTTCTCGTCAGTCTTTTTCAAATTTCTCATCAATGTCTGTACAATTGTGACTTTCCCGCAATACTTGGTAAAATTTTCATCCTGCTGTGTTCGAGCCGTTGTCTTTGGTAAAATGTCGTGTAATGCATTTTCCTTGTCATTTATGAACAGATTTGGATGGTTACAAATCTTTTTGAGAGCAGTAATAATGGATAAATGCATAATATTTTTATTTTGTATGCAAAGCTTGTTGTACCAAGCATCAGTAACAAGAGAATACAACTCCTGTTGTTCGCTGGATAAAGAGCAGAATAAAACCATTTCATTTTTACTCGGCAGATATTTGTTTATCGCTTGTTGTGTACGTCTCAGAATGAAAGGCTTGGTGCGCTCGTGCAATTCTTTGGCTCTTTCATTCCCCAAACTGAGAACATCGTCGTCCGCATGAGGACACTGAGACGCGACGATAGGACCTTCGTAATAATGTTTGTATTCAACAGGAGTGCCGAGAATCCCATGATTAACAAGATCGATCAATGTATAAAATTCCATCAAATCGTTCTGTATAGGAGTACCCGTTAAAATAATCCGTTTTTTGCAATTTATTTCATATAACAGCTGCGAAAATAAAATATATAAATTTATATATATCTACAATTTGCAGATAAAATTAACACACAAGTCAAATAGATGATTACCTTCGCTGCTTTTATATCGCTATTTTTCAGTTTGTGGCCTTCGTCACATATAATTAAGTCAAAGGTGATCTCATTGATTTCCACATGAGATTTCATGAACATTTCATAACTAATAATCATCACCGAATTCCTCGGATGCTTATTAAAGTCCTTAGGCTTGTTTTTTCCATTCACAACGTACGGAGATATTCTATGACTGCCTAACCATTTTGTGAATTCTTTGTCCCAATTGTTGCACAAACTACTAGGTGTTATAATTAGCACACGTTTCACAATCGGTTTGCCATATGGGCCCTTTTTCAGCATTGTCCAAATTAATGTAATACATTGCAAGGTTTTGCCGAGGCCCATTTCATCCGCCAAAATCGCACCAAAATAATCTGACGCTCTTAATCCCATTACGCATTCGTAAAGAAATACAATTCCCTGACGTTGGTGTTCTCTAAGTTTAGCTGCTAAACAGGAGTCAACCAAGACTTCCTGCTCCTTTTGTAGATTCTCCGGACTTATCCACGCAGCACAAGAATTCATGTATGGCATTACCAAAGGTTCATGATTTAATACCAATCCTTCAATATAAATTTTTAATTTGTTCAATAACTTCAATGCTCAATAATTATTCTACTTTTTATTCTGTTACAAATTTATGGAACCTGTTTTTGTAGGTGATAGCAAAGGCACAAATGGTTTGGTAGAGGCTTGCAATCTGTTTTGCAAAGATTCCTCTATTATTTTCTTAGAATTTTTCTCTGGCACAAGCTCTTGTGATACCTCATCTGTAATCTAAAAAATTAAATTTGGCGAATTTCTTTACATAATATAAAACATTGCATTATAAAAAATATTAATGTGAACTCTTACTTCAATTTGTTTCTGTCCTATGATAAATCTGAAACCTGCTACTGCATTATTCGGATCAATCCTAGTTTTTCCCATAATTTTTCCATCCAAGTCCTGTTATACATTAAAAGAATGTTAAAATAATTTGAGTTAAAAATTTATAATTAACGAACTAGTTACCTTAAGAGTTGCACTTTTTCCAATCACTTCTAACAAACCATCACCATCCCATGTTTTGTGCTTTTTTGAAGTTACTTTACCATACATCACATTGAAGACACTATAAAAAATATTGATTCAGTTTAAATAAAATTTAATCTATTTCAATATCTACTCTCAAAATACTTACATTTTTGTATCTGCTTGAGATGAATCAACACTCGAGGTTTCTCTTTTATAATCTGAAGAATCTTCTTTTATCTTTGATACATTTGAAAGTGTAGATATTTTTAATTTTTTAGATAATGGTTTCTCTACTCTTTCCTCGGGATGCTCCTCTGGTATGGATAGTTTTGATACTTGTTCTATAATCTAAAATAAACTTTGCTATTTTTTTCTATATTTAATATTGCATAAACATTAATGTAAATTCTCACCTCAATTTGTTTATTTCCTATAATCAATCTGAAGCCTTCTACTGCATTACTTGGATCAATCTTAGTTCTTCCCATAATATTACCATCCATATCCTATTACACAATAAAAGAATATGTCAAATAATCTTTGAGTTAAAAATTCATATAATCAATGAACTAATTACCTTAAAAACTGCATTTTTTCCAATCACTTCCAGCAAACCGTCGCCGTCCCATGTTTTGTGTTTTTTTGAAGTTACTTTGCCATATACAATGTTGAAAATTCTATAGCAAATATTAATATCAATTTATAATATAAATTTCAACACTTTTAAAATACTTACATTTTCGTCCTGTCTGTTAAGGACGAACCAACAGTAGACGATTCTTTTTCGTGAACAAGAGAATCGATATTTCGTTTTTTCGGTAGATTATTTTCGACATCATGATTGACCTCATTATTTTCTTGAATTGCCTTTTGAAACAAGTTCAAAATCTGCAAGTTACTTCTAAGAGTCTTTTTCATTGAACTGTTCATTGTTTTTTCCTGACTTACGAATACCTTAGTTTCCTCGACATTTGTTTGCGATCGACCGACTAAAGGGGACGCGAATCCTTTCACAGGCTTATTCCGATTCATAAATAAATGAATAATCTATTAATTTTGATTCGTTTGAAAGAGGGAAGTGAACTAAAGAAACTGAATTCAATTCAACATAATGGTGGCATGTAAAATTATTCCGCTTTTTCATGTGTTGCTGAACAAGTACATTAGTCCACCATGCTAATTGGCTATCAGATAGAAAATTTCGAATATCAAACTTTCTTCCATATTAGCCAATCAGTGTCATTCACACATGCGGATTACGAGCGGCGCGAAATTGCCGAGCATTGTTATAGGACCTAATGATCGCAACGTCATACTGGTCATACGTACTATCATACTATTTAGTCCGTGGTCGTCGGATAGCCTCGAAATTGTGCGAAATTATTGGTACATCGTACAATCGACGACAGAAAATGTATCTTCAAATTTACGAGATAACGACGAATTGATTTTTACGTGCGAGAGACGACGCTTCCAAATGAGGTTAATAACGATGGGTATATTCAGGATCACATCAACTATAGATTAACATTCTAATATTATTGTTGTTTTTTGAAGATTCCTTCATATATTCATTTAACGTGAGAGACGCGTGCTGTTCCAACCGCCACAGAGAGAATGTACTGCCTACAGTGGTTAATCCCGGTGCTGTTGATACCGAAACCTGTGAATCCAGCACTGCTGCAAACCCATGTCATGTTCATGGCGCTTTATCTAATTGGGTTCT